CAGTGCCTCTGATCTTAACTTTTTCCTGCGTGTTTTAACACTTTATGCTCTTCAGATGCGTTTAGTAACGATATCTGTCCCCTTCTCTTTGGTAGGTGGGTAATCAAAAGGGTGAATCAGTAGGTAGATAATAGAAAAAAAAATGAAGCCTTGAGAGAGAACCTGAAAGCACATGAAACCCTAATTGTTAGGTGTAACACGTTTCTGGCTCATTCTTGGGTAGAAAAGTGCTGCTGATAAATTTGGTGTAGAGAACATCAAGGGCTCTTGAATATTTCTGTAAGTAGTCATGTATTTTGCTTACCTCGAAGTGAGTTTTCATCGTTAAAGTGTTTTAAATGCTGTTTTATAGTGGAGAAAGCAGGGAAATTTCGGACAGTTTGAAGTTTTTTGGAAGTCAGCTTTTCAACTGGCAGCGGCGGTGCGGGGGGGGGAAATCAAGGAAGCACGAAGCCTCAGAGAAACAGGGAGCTGGTGGCAGAGGTTTTCACTAGAACTGGAGTGGATACTTGCTCGTCCTTTAGTGAGTTAATTTTAATTGAGAAGTGCAGGGTTACGATAATGTTAAAGTAAAAATAGTTGATCAAATGTAGGCTGTAGAAAAAGTAAGCTCACCAAAGGTATTGAACTCTTGAAAAAATGTGGGGGAGCTCGAGCTCTGACCATTTCCTCCCAATTCTAGTGAAGCAGTTTTATCACAGTTGAAGAAAAAAAAATTAGGTCACTAATTGCTCAGATGAGTGGCAGACCAGCAGCACCCTTTTTGAAATCACATCAAACCAAACAAGACTTGCTTCACTCCTCTTTCACTTGTTCCCTCAAGAAAAAAATTAATTCGAGCCGTGTGGATTTTATCAGCCTTCCTTGTCGATGACCGCCTTGTCCTACACAATAGTGGATTTTTTCCATCCATTTGCCAGTGATTCAATCTAACCCCCCTGCTGGGTTTACTGCATTCTTCTAACTTATTGGATAACTAGATGCTGAGAGATAACATTCCTGAAATTCGGGGGTGGGGAGATAAAAAAAAAACCAGTAGAAGTCCGATCCCTGGGAAGCCTTTGGAGAGGGTTAAGTGAAGTGCACAAGCAATTGTTCTGGCAGGGCTCTCTGCTCCTCGGTAAATACTCATACAGTGTGTGGACAGAGCTGCACAGGGAGGTTTCTTTGCAGAGAAAACTCACGTTTTTAGTCCTTTAAGTTCATGTCAGTGCAAGTGCTGGGGGGGAGGGCAGAGGTTGGGGTAACTGAGGTGCTCTGATTGCAGGCGCTCTGTGCTTCTTCGAGGCTGGGGGGAGGATGTAGCTGGAAATCAAGATGAAGAATTTCAGAAAAGCTGTTGTGTTTTTTAAGAAATAGTAAATAGGTCCTTTGCTATTCCAGCTACTACACAATAACCAAGCGTAGGGCTTCTACTGTCTGTATCGTAAAAAAACCTAATCTTTTCGGGATGGGGGAAGCTATTACACACGCTTTTTCAAAGGTGGAAGGGAAAATAAGGCATAACTCTTCCCTGTTTGTCATGTAGCAAGTCGGTACAAGCTGGAAATTGAATTTATTTGGAGTCCTGAGCTAGTGCCTTGCAGTCAGACAGAGGAACTGGAAACTAAACTGACAGTGGCACCGAGAGTGGGCAGGGACAGGGCTGCGAACCTGCCTGCTGCTGCCAAACACAACTCCCTGCGATTTACTGGAGTTTTTCTGTGAGGTGGTGCTTAAGACCAGAAAAAGTTACCCCTGGAGCTCCTCAGAATTACAAAAATTAGGAGCATGGGCTGTGCTGGAGACTGGAAAAGGGGACTTTGAATTTAGCACGGTCTTGTCAGTAGAAGAGTGGAAAAATAAGAAAGTGCTGTCAATGGAAGGGAGATGAATGATCAGATGCTTTGAAGCAGATAAAGTTTGAGGACTTGTTATCCTGGAATACTTCCTTTTGGGGGTGGGCATCAGTCTTTTCTGCAGGCATTTCTAATCCACTAGAAACATTTTGCATGGCCATTGCAGAGGTGCGAACTGCAGCGTGAAATGTGGAAGAGCGAGCTTTGTGCTTTCTAAAGTAAAACCTAACGTTGTTTTGCGACATGGGATAACTGTGTAGTTGGGCTTGGGAGATTGGACTGTTAAAGCCCTGAATGCTAAAGGATTTGGAAAAGAGGTTTTGATGTTTTAGCCTATTCCATCCACCTTTTGGATGGAAACAGTTAGGAAAGTAGTCAAGTAAAAACCTTTTCAGTCAGTGTACAGAGTAGTTATGGAAACTTCTTGTCTTTTTTTCAACACTAGTGCTTTCTTTCCTGATATATCTGCTCAGACTCTTGCAAAGATGAGTTTTTAAAAACATCCATTCTTCACCTCAGTTGACCCTATTTATTGACCAAGTTCTGAATCACGTACTACTTGTCTGCAGACTAGATTTCTCTGTATCTTTTTCCATAGAGTTAAATCAACTTTAGAGGCATCAATTTAATGAACTTTGGGGTGCGAAATGTATGCTTAAACTATGCTTTTATCTTATTTCCTTTGCTTGTAGAAGTTGTTTGGGCTGAAGGAGGAGGGGAAAAAAAACCCCTATTTCGTTCTCCCTGTTTAGATATGAGGGATCCAAACAGTTTTAATCATAGCTGTGCTGAGAACACCTTTCCTCCCTATTCAAGGACTTGGAACCCTGAAGTGTATGTGATTAACAGAATTGTGCACATACAGATGTGGATTTATTGCTCTGCAATAGCATAACAGGCCTCTGATATTTGCGTTTTTTCATTGATCAAGTTGTCTTTTTAAAAAAAAATTTACATGCACTTTCCATCACTTAACATTAAACAGTTGAAGTTTCATTTGTTGAATATACATATAATACCCTTGTTAACCTAACAAATGTCAAGGTTTGCAATATCCTTCCTTACAGAGCTTTTACACTACCCAGAAACAGTAAGTCAACGTGCTTGAGTTGTTGCTTGGACGTGCTTCCCCTCCACCCTGCCATGTACAGGATATCCACGTGTATCAGATGTGTGATTCGGTTACATCTTTAAAATGAAAGCCGCAAATAGCTCCTGTGCTTGCAGTCTTCGGTTCCCCTTGTAAGATGGTGTGGGCTAGTAACAGGGAACCAGAGCTGAGCCTTGGGATGAATTACTGGAGATGCAAGACCCAAACAGAAGAGATCTCGTAAATTCGGATTTTCGGTGGTGGAGGCCTGCAGCATGCCCCGCTGGGTGCGCGGGAGGTGACGTACTTCGTTACTGCACCCTTGGCACCCATCAAAATCGGACCAATTAACGTGGGTTACAGGATGTTTCACCTGGCGGGGGCTGTAATGAATTCACCTGCAGTCCTTCCCGCTCCCCCTCAGCTGCGGGAGCCCCAAGTCTCACCTCCCCAACACTCCTGCCTCCCGTGCCCCGTGTGCTCACCCGCCTCGGGCTGAGTGCAAGTTTGTTGTTTGAAGGATGGCTACGCTGAGCAAAAACATCCTGTTTTGGTTTAGAATTTCTCTTAACCTCTCTTCCCATTCTGATGTTTCCCTGAATGATAACTTTTTTTTTTGTCTGCATGCAAATTATGCTCAGTCTGTGGGGTGGTGGTGGAGGAAGGGCAGGAGTGGACTTACAGACCAGCTTTGCTTTCCCTCCCCCTCCCTCAAAGCGTGTGAGTTGCGGATGCAGCTAAACAGGGTGGCCTGAGCAGGTCTGAAACGACTGTGTGTTTTGCAAGTGGGACTCGTTGCATCGCGCTCTGATAATCGTCAGTATCAACGTAGGTTCGTACCTACGTGTGAGGTTCTGTAAGTTGATCATCTTTTCTTTACTGCTGTGGCTTTTTAGAGGTTGTTTTTTATGTGAGCATGTGTTTGAAGTTTTTAAAAGCTAATATTGGACTTCTGCTTTTGTCAGCCCTCTCTGGTAGTAATGACTTCCATAATGGCGGAGTGAATGTCATTTTAATAGATCGGAGTACAATTAAGAACTGCTCTGAAGTTCTTGTGTTAACAATCTTACGTGAATTTCTGTGAGATGATTAACTAAGGATTACAAACTGAAGTACAAACACAAAATAAGTTTAAGTGGTGTTTTACTCCATGTTACGATGTCTTCCTTGAGTCATGTTCCTTTTCAGCTGTTGTGCAGGTGCAAGCTGCCTTGCTGCACTGTCCCTTTACCTGTATAAGGGGATTTGTGCTAAACCTCTTTTCACTGAGCCTTGTGAGATTCCTTTTATGTTACTGTTTTTCTTGAAAACAGAACTAAGATGCAAGTTTCTTTGGGGCTGCAAATGAATTAGCAGCAAAACAAAGAGTGGGAGTTCACATCAATCTGCCAACTTGAGTACAGTGTCTTATGTCTTTAACTTGCAATTCAGGTGAAGTCAAGTGATCTTAAGAGTAGGAAACATTCAGTCTAAATCTAGCTATTGATAATGTGACTTTCTTTTATTTTAAGGGAGTCCACAAGACGTCCCAGGTGACGGAGATGGTGAAATGAGTTCCAAAAGGTGCCGCACGGAGGAAACTAAAATCTGTGAGAAATGCTGTGCAGAATTCTTTGATCTCTCTGAATTCCTTGAGCATAAGAAAAATTGCACTAAAAATCCACCTGTTCTAATCATGAGTGACAGTGAGGGAACAGTACCCCCTGAGAGCTTCTCTGAGGCTTCTCTAGGGAGCTTTCCAAGTGATCGAATGGATAGCAGGGCACGCAAGGACGTTCAGGCAAAGGGCTGCACTGGTTCTATGGAAAAGAGAGAAGGAAAAATGGATGCCGAGTCAGTAGGAGGAATGTACCTTAAAATAGAACCCCCCATCACTCCTGCAGCTCCTGGGCTAAGCTATCTACCAAAATCCAAAGTACCGAACACTAATGTGACTTTGCAGACGATACGCGGCACTAAAGTGGCTGTGAACCAGCGGACCTCCGATGCCATCTCTTCTTCAGCAGCCGGTTTTAATGCCATCCCCATGATTCTGGAGCAGCTCGTGTGTTTGCAGCAGCAGCAACTCCAGCAAATTCAGTTGACGGAGCAGATTCGCATTCAGATTGCCATGATGGCTCCCCATGCCCTGCATCCTTCTATAGCAGCTGCTACTGATCCACTAAAAGCTCTGGGCGCTCACATGTCTCAGCAGCTGTCGGCTGCTGTTGCTTTAATCGGACAGAAAGCTGGAAGCCAGAGCCTATCACTGGAATCCTTGAAGCAAGGAAAACTACCTCATTCTAACACTGGCGTTGCGGCCGCCGGCTCTCTGGCTGCTGGGCTTTCCTCCTCCTTCCCCTTGAAGCCGGAGGCAAGCAGAAGCCTCCCTGGCTCCATCTCTCGGTTCCCAAATCCTTTGCTACCTCAGTCCTCCAACTCCGTCATCTTCCAAAACCCGCTTTCGGCTGTTTCTTCTGTGATAGATTCCTCAAAGAAGGGGAAGGGAAAACCCCCCAATATTAGCGTGTCTGAAAGCAAACCGAACGCGGAAGAGCCGTTCTTCAAACACAAGTGTAAATTCTGCGGCAAGGTCTTCGGCAACGACAGTGCCCTGCAGATTCACCTGCGGTCCCACACTGGGGAAAGGCCCTACAAGTGTAACATTTGTGGTAACCGCTTTACGACCAAAGGAAACCTTAAAGTGCATTTTCAGCGTCACAAAGACAAATACCCCCACATAAAGATGAATCCTTACCCGGTTCCTGAGCACCTGGACAATGTTCCCACTAGCACTGGAATCCCGTATGGGATGTCTGTGCCACTGGATGAATCTAACCTAATTGTGGATAGCAAACCTTTACTAACAACCCTGCCTACCTCTGCGGCCACCAGTGCACCTCAGACCGTCTCCAACCTAGCAGGCATCAAGGAGTCTCTGCCTGGTGCCTTCTCGAGTGACCTGCAGTCAAGGCCTTCTCCAGAAAGTGAGGGTGGCTCTTCCTCATCAGGGGCGGTCGGTCATGAATCGGGAACAGAGCAGAGCTTGAGTTCACCACAAGCTACCTGCAGCGTGAGCATCTTCCACGTAAGTGGGTCAAACGAGCAAGGCTCAGAAACATCGAAGCTTCAGCAACTGGTGGAAAATATCGACAAATCCACTGCTGACCCCAACGAGTGCCTGATCTGTCACAGAGTGCTGAGCTGCCAGAGTTCACTCAAGATGCATTACCGTACTCACACTGGAGAGAGGCCGTTCAAGTGTAAAATCTGTGGCCGTGCCTTCTCCACTAAAGGGAACCTTAAAACTCATTATGGCGTCCACCGGGCCAATACTCCTTTGAAGATGCAACATTCATGTCCCATTTGCCAGAAGAAGTTTACAAATGCAGTTGTGTTGCAGCAGCATATCCGCATGCATATGGGGGGACAGATACCCAATACTCCAATGCCAGAAAACACCTGTGACAGTACTGATGTGGATGCTGCTGTGGCTGAGAAGAATGGAGACATCAGTCGCCCAGATGAGACTGTGGAGAGCATAGAGATAGAAGAGGACCTGGACTCTCAGGATGGCCCTAGGAGTTCTTCAAAACCTCCTACTCCATATGATGCACAATCAGAATCACCAGCTGCAGCAGCTGGCTTCTCTGGTATTGCAGCACTGGAGAATCAAATGAAGATCGTCAGCTCTGCTTTGAACTTGCAGCGGCAAAGCAGCTTGAAGTCTAGTGACAATGGCTCAGCAGAAAGTGATGGCATGACAAATGATTCATCTTCTGTGGCAGGAGATCCAGATTATCAGAACGGCAGGAGTCCTGCTGCCTCTGAGTCTGCATCGCTCCAGGCTCTGTCCCCAGCCAACAGCCAAGCTGAGAGCGTGAGGTCAAAGTCACCTAGCTTCAACAATCAAGAAGATACAGGCACAGGAAATAAATCAGAAGGTCCTGAGAATGCTTCTGCAGAAATGGAAGGGGTCGTCGGTGCTTTGGATTTAACTTACGGCAATATCGGTCGGAAGGTCATTAAAGAAGAACCTGGGTTACACTTTGCAAACGGAGAATATGGTGAGTAATATGAAATGCTTGCAATAACTTGGGGTGGGGTAGTAGGACTGGAGGAAACCCTTCTCTTAAAGGACCAACAGAAGTCAAACCTCCTCAGCTTTCCCCTCTTTCTTCTCCTCCAGTAGAAAAAGGGACACATGTCCTTGAAAAGCTTCCTGACTGTCAGGGTCCTGCTGCCTGACCGCTGTCATCTCCTGCAAGGGGGAGCATAGACGTCCTTAAAATAAATAGAGGCTGTGCACTTTGTCTTTCATGGGCTCACCTGACACTTCCTTACAGGTCTCTAAAAGATACATGTTTGTGTTTCATGGAAAACTGCTTAACCCAAGAACATGGCATTAAAACTCTGGAATCCTTTGTGGGTTTTCCGAGCTCTCTAGCACTGAGACTGATGTTGATCTAAATTTGATCCAAAAGGGAGACTTTCGAGCTCCTAAGCTCGCCAACAGAAGTAGGGATGAACTGATATATTTCAGAGCGTCCTAGCAAGTGTAATAGCAGCCCTATCATGTGGCTTTGGAGGGCTTTGCAGGCATGCTCTTCGGGCACATGTAGTTCCAAAGGCAGGACTTCTGGTATCTTAGCCAGATTTAAGTTTGGAAGAAGAAGGAACTGGGATAAATGTTATCTTTGCTTTCTTTCCAGGTCGAAGTAGTGTTCCAGCTGCTTTTGTTAGAGCCCCACCAGCTCTCATAAAAATGGAGATGCCCAGCGAGCGTCCCATTAGCACTGGCCATTTCATTGGCCCACCAGCTCTCTCCCCTGGTGTTGCCCCTCTCCTTGTGCCACGACCGAAATTCTGCCGTCCTGCCAAACAGCACATCTGCACTACGTGTGGGAAGAACTTCTCCTCTGCCAGCGCCCTTCAGATCCATGAACGGACCCATACTGGTGAAAAGCCATTTGCCTGCACCATCTGTGGGAGAGCCTTTACAACAAAAGGAAACCTGAAGGTATGTCGTCCCTTATGTTGTGATCTCCTTTGCCGGGGAAAGTCATACGAGAGAGGGAAAGATCATTGCTAATATTTGTCCTGCCTTTGGGGACAACTTAGATTTTCTTTTGGTTCCTCAAATGGTAATCTTTGACTTTTGTGTCTCCTCCCCGAGTTTCTTCACACAACTTGCTAAACAGTGTACTGTGATCACCCACAGAAGTCTTTGCTACTGTCCTTGACTTTCCTTTTTGGATAGTAGGGAAGCCTTAGCTAACCCTTACTAAGCAGATTGCTTTATTTTCATGTGGATTTGGATGTGTCAAGACATAAACATTGGATAGACTGAATGCTACAAAATGATGCCTACAGAATACATGCATTACACGGCACTGCTTGAAACACCATGCAGGACAAGGAAGGATAAAACTGAGAAGACAATCCTGAGATGGCACAAAGTACTTGAGGGATTGTATCTAAGCACTTGCTGAAGAAGTGCTGCAAGTCTGTCCTAATTGTCAGATTAATCCATTTGCCCTGTCAAGGACTCAGGACTTGCAGCTCCCTCACTCGCACAGAGGCTTCTCACTTCCCACAAGAACCTCTTCAGGCTCCTCGGTCCTCTTGCATAAATACTGATGGGGAGGGAAAATCCTCTGCGGTTTGTGAACAGTCACTTGCTGGAAGCACTAGCAGTGTGTTTGTGATGTGGAAGATTTTTAGCTTAGGTGTAACCTCTCTTCCAAATTCCTTGGTGAGCTTTTTTTGCAGTAACTAGTCTTTTTTCCAGTGTAGTCTGTTCACAGCAAATAATGCAGCTTTTATTTTTTTTGAGGGGGACATCTTTGCCAACACCATTTACAGTAAGTGTAAAAACACAGTCCTACAAGCCACTTCCAACAGTAAACTCTAGAGAGTCTTGGTGATGTCAGGCAGTAGAATGATGGTATCTTACATGTGCCAGGAAGAGAACAAAGACAACAACTAGCCAGCTTAACTACCTTCCTGAATGCAAATGGAGCATACGTGACTTCGTCTGAGCAGTTTGGCTGAAAGCAAAGTAGAGCTTGGGTGTACCATAAAAGAACTGCTGCAGTATTAATGGTTCTCTTTCCTTTTCCCCCTCTGGAAGGTCCATGTAGGAACTCACATGTGGAATAACTCTGCCAGGCGGGGAAGAAGGCTTTCCATCGATAACCCCATGGCTCTGCTGGGGAACGATCCCAAGAAGGTATCTGAAATGTTTCCGAAGGATATGATGCCTCCTTCAGTGAGCATTGACCCCACAGTATGGAATCAGTACGCAGCGGTACTCAGCAATGGCATAGCGATGAAGACTAACGAGATCTCGGTGATCCAGAGCGGTGGCTTACCTACTCTTCCAGTCACCATTGGGAGTGGTTCGGCAATAAATACTGCTACGGTCTCCAAAACAGATGGGACCCAGTCTGGAACTGGTTCTGATACAGAGAAGGCCAGTGGTGCTGCTGCAGACAACGTGCCAAAACATCAGTTCCCTCACTTCATGGAGGAGAACAAAATTGCTGTTAGTTAAAAACTCTAGTGAAGTTGACGTACAGAAAGAACAAATATATATATACACAAACATATATTTTTAAGAGATTCCACTTCAGCCGCCTATTTTCCTATTGACGTGCAAATGATTTTATGGTTGTCTTTGTAAGAGTTGCCCAGAGTACAATCATGATCTTGCTTTGCAAATAGTAAATAATAAAGAATAGGATTTCCTTCTATTTGGAAAGATGCGGGTCTTGCAAAGTAGTTCTTACTTGTGACTTTAATGTGTACAGCCTTACAGAAGTTTCTACAACTTGAAATTCCAAAGGTTAGAATATTTACCTCTTTGTTTAGAGTGAATTGGGGGTTTTGAATAGAGTGGAAACAACCTACTGTTGATGGAAAAGCTTCTATTTACTGATGAGAAATGAAAACTATTAATGCGGGTAAATATCCTAGAATGTCTGCCACCCTCTTAGAAGTAGTTTTTCTGTTTGGATTTTTGGCTCTGTGTGGTTTCTGAATGTACTTTTTACTATAATGGCTATAAAAACGACAAAATTTTTTTTTTAATTCCTTCTTTGCCTCAGAAGTTCTATGAAAAGAAAGTTGCTGTTTTTCTTTAATCACCGCTCCTAAGGAATTAATTCTCTGTGTTGTTGACTGCTGCTTATTTAATACTACTACTAAGACAGTCCTTCAAGTGTAGTGCCAAAACTCCTACTTCCAAAGATGTGCAGTTTTTCCCAGATGTTTTATTTCAATACCGAGAGCCCCAAACAAGCATGGGTGGGTATGTATATACTTTTTTTGTTTTCCTTTCTTGAAAGGGAAGACTTGCCTTGGGAAGTCAGGTCTAAAAGCTCTGCAAGGAGTCTCAGGTGACTGTTGCAATTAGGCATGAGAACTGGTTTCCTTAGCAAGAGACTTTTTTATTTTATTTTTTTTTTCATTTGGGTAATTTAGAAGATCAGTCTGTGTAAACCTGTATTTAAATATGAAGTATTCATGCTTAGGTTAAATGTTTTGTGGGTTTTTGGATGGCATTCCTACTTTGGTCATTAAGTTTCTTGGTGGTCTGTGAACTTGCATTCTACCAAAATGGTAATTAATGATCCATGTGTATTGTATGAAGGTTGCTGGGATAGTCATCTGGATTCTAAGTTATCTACCTCATTTTTTTCCTTTTGTAGTTGTAGTGTCTATTTTTCTATTAATGACCACTGTAATGAACTGAGATTCAAGCAGATGCTTCCATGCACTATCTGAAACCAAAACCTGATGTATTAGTGGAAGCACCTGAAGACTTACTGGACTGACCTTTCACTATTCCTCTAACGTCTGTTGGAACTGTATGTGTAATGGAATCTAAACCAGACTGGAAAGTGAGCATTTGGTGTGGAAGGACTGAACGATGGAAAGAAGTCTAGTTGTTGACTGCAGGAAACCTTCAAGTCCAGTCTCCGTTGTGGAAGGCTCCAAAAATGCGGATTACCAAAAGTTTGTGTAATGTTGTTGCACCTGATTCTTGCTTATGATCTCTGTATGCCGAGTTGTGCCTTTCCTGCTGGACTTGTAAGTAAGAACATACCAGTACCTGTTTACACCGTAAAATGGATATTGTTACATAGACCATGCAAAAGGCATCCCAATTGTCAAGTTTCTGCATTGTGAATGTATGACTTTTAAGAACTCTGTAGTTTTGAGTACCTACTGATGCGTTTCTGTTGACATTTTGAGAATAAATTTTGGGATGGCTTTTTCACACTTAGTGCTTAAATTTTTCTGGCAAAGCATTTGTCTCCTGAAGAGCAAGTTCAATAGGCAGCACGCTGTCTCCCTCCAGTGACTTTTTAAATCCATCATCTAAGGTTATGCTTTAGTTTGTTACTTAAAACAACAGAAATGGGTAGCAGTGGAGGAGTCTCTAGATCAGTTTCTTGGGAACAGTTGGGGTTTGATATAGGGATTGGTACCAGGGGTGTTGATTCCCACACTAAAATAGGATGAGTAATACGTGCAGTAATTCCTGTACTGTGATCACCCTAGAAATGGAAAGGAATACTAAGTTATCAAATTGCCAGTGCCTGAAGATGCATTTATCAGAAAAAAGATAAATAACTTCCTCTAAAGAGCAAAGGAAAACAGTTCTGAAAACAGTCCTGATATAGTGGAAAAAGGGGTCTGATATCAGGGTCTGATACTCACAACCTAAACTAGCAGACGTATTTTGTGCTTGGGAGGTAACAGTGGGGGGAAGATGGTGCAGCAGCAGTGTCCTCTTAAGGTGCACCCTTCCAATGTCAGCACAGCCTGATCATGGTGCCCCTTGCACAAGGCTCATACTTGGGGGTGGAAAAAAAGGCAGAAACACTTGTTCTCTAGGCTCTACTATAAGCTCTGGAGGAATGAAAAAAGGGGTGGAGAGGGCAGGACCAGGTGTGAGGTGGTCCAGGAAGGTGGACAAAATAAACAGGAGCAGAAGGAAAGGTAGCAACGTGTGGTGCATGTGTGGGAAGGCAGAAAGCATACACCACTTGAGTAGTCTACAGAGTATGTAGTTCTTTAAAAGCAGTACTTCAGTTCCAGGAGACAATATTTGGTGCAAGAGAAGACGTGACCTTTCTCTCAGAGAAACCAAAGGAGTATAATTGAACCACAATGGATGAGGAGTACAAGAGGTCTCTCAGTGGTGATAACTAGAAATAAACTATACCCATGCTAGTGTGGATACTGTTCTCAGCCACTGATCCTGTATCCTGCTTTGAGAGCAAGGTTGTTCTGGGTGCCTGGATGAGCTTGCTGCCTGAGCTGCTGCTCCGGCCCTTCAAATGTCAGCCTGGATTTCTGGCTGGTTCCCTATGCCAGGGGTGCTGGGCACCCATGCAGCACGTGCTGCCTGTGCAGGACTAACTGCAGCAGCACTTGGAGCAACATGGTGTGAAAGAGGAGGTGCTGGGTTTGCAGGAGAGGTGCATCACATCTAAAGACCCACCCTAACTGGGCGATCTGCTCTCCAGCATGGGCCAACCGTGGGTATTGTGAAAAAGTGGCCTGGCTTCAGAGGAACCTGTGATAACAAGCCTGCTCTCCACTGATAGCTTGATCCCAAGTGGTATCGTAATGCCATGAAAATACGTCAGCAGCAGGAGGAAACAAGTGGTTTTGCTAGCAGGAAGCCAACAAAACCTGCTGTCCTGGGGCTTTGCACCTTGGTGGTACCGGTTGATGTCTCCTCATTCAAACAGATCCTGAGGTTTGGGGTCTCTTTCTTTCTTAAATGTGGACTCAGCCTGTCACATGAGGGCTGAGCTCACGTTACAGCTTTACTTCAAAAGATGCCAAGCTGTGGGGCTCTGCCTGCCTTTTCATGACCATCTATAAGAATATAATTATGCATTCAGACCTCTGCCTTCTTTAACTGTATTGGTCAACAGGTTGGAAGTTAAGGGGAGATGAGGAGGGAGGAGGAGGGGTTTATTAAAGCATGAGCTCTGGTCTAGAAATAAAATGTCAGGAAGCTGCTGGGAAACCAGGACAAGAAGCGGTTTTGGCAGAGTTGTACAATATCCTGCAGCATTGGGTTGCTGGGGGAATCGAGCAGATGCAGCCAGGGCCTGCCTTAGCCGGGTGGACAGCAGTGACAGCAGAACGATGTGACTTGGCACAGTCACAGGAAGGCTTTAGTCTCCAGGCCACGGTGTCGCGGTCTCGCTGTGCCAAAGCTGGGTGATAAGGCAGCTCCAGTTTGGAGCATAGCACGATCCCCAGTGAAGCCACTGTGGGTGAGTCATGGATCTATCACAAAACCTGAAGAACAGATAAGACCTATCTGACCGCTGTCCCCGCAGCAGAAAGTGGGCTGTGCCACAGGGATGTTTCTGCTGGAGGTAGCTGGTGGGGAGACTGTATTTCCAAAGCAAGCAGGACTGGAAATTAGCTGCTCTCCCGTGTACAAGAGCTGAGCCAACGCCTTCTGAAACTCAGCACGATGGAACTCACCGCACTGGCAAGTGTGTACAGTTTACAGTAAGATTACATCTTAACAATTAAGAAAGACAACTGATTCTCTTCTTCCCTGTGCTGATGTAGATTAGGAACAAGTTTACTGAAGCTAATGTATTGGCATTGGTGTGAGAGCAGAAGTGAGGTGGTATGTGCGCTTGTCTCCGCTCATTAGCCTCTCTTCTTGCCTAAAGGCCTCTCCTGTTCTTGTTTGTTATTGCTGACTTTGCTCAGCGCATTGAGGATTTGCCCAGGCTGTTGCTTTTGTGCAAGCGGCATATTTACTTGCGTGAGCTAAGGTAAAGGCTGGCTTACTTAAAACGTTCAATTTGAACTTAAAAGTTGCATTGCTTTAAAAAGAAAAAAAGTGCATTAGGTTTAATGTATTAGCACTATCCCTCTAAAGAAACATTTCTCTTGACCTGCCCTTTCTGATAAAAACTTTCCAGAAAGTCAATGGGAAGTTTGAGGAGTGAGTTTGTCTGAAAACCACATAGCTAATCTGCTGTCTGGGCTGAGCTCAGGGAGGCTGATTGCCTTTCCAACAGCTGGCAGCAAGGAGGTGGGAGCCTTCCTGGGCTACTGATAAATACAACGTGGAGTAAAGTGTAACTGACTGTTAAGCTTGGATCTGCAGAGGGGAAAGGACCTGGCTGAGGTGCTTGAGCTGATGGGATGGCAGGGAGAGGCTGAAACAAAGGAGAAGGGATGAGTATTGCATTACTTTTTTTATTTTTCCTGTTGAAAGACATTGTGCTTACTGCAGGGTTTGCAGTACATTTGGAATAGGATTTGCAAAATAACAGCTTAGGCAGAAAGCCTTCGTGTTGTCTGTGTGATACCATGAGGTTACTGTCACAGCGCTGAGGCTTTCTCGATCTCTCTTTGTGTTGTGTGCTCAGATGAGAGGGCTCTTCTCTGCGTGCACTGCCCACAGCCTCCCCGCTTGCGCTCACTGGTGAGTGCTCTGCGTTAGTGGTGTGTGGGTGAGCGCTGGGCTCACGTATGTTTGGCTTCAGCTCACATTCATCACTGACCTAGAAAAGCGTCTGTCATTGCACAGCCACAGCAGGACAGGAAACATAACTCAGAAGCAGAGAAAAACCAGCAATTACATGCTCCTGCCTATTATAGTATTATCTATTTCATTATTGTATCTTCTATTTTTTGCACTTTGAGTTAATTGCTTGTAAAGGGCAGTGGGTTTTGCACCATTTTGATTGCTGTTAATACCACTGATACTTGAAGCACTCTGATTTATTGGAAAGCATGCTTTTTGATGCCTATTATAACTGATCCATTTGCTGGACATCCCAGCCAAGCTGCACCATCCTCCCCTTTCAGACTTCTTCCCTAGCCTCTCTGGTTGTCACATCTTGTAGTCCAAAGATTAACTTCTCTGATTCAATTACTTCATGCAGAAAATTTCTTGATTCAGAATGCAAGCAGGTGGATCTCATCATGTGCCTTATTTTCCAATACTTGCTTTAGGCAAAATCCAGGCATTACTAAAGGTTTGTGTAAAACTGTCTCTCTAAATAAAGCTGAAAAAACAAATCATGTAAAATTCACAGCACCTAGTGCTATTTTTTGTGTATATGTATATTTTTTAAAATTTTTTTAGTCCAATATAGACTCTAACTATACGGACAAAAAGCAGAGGTGCTGTCAGCAAAATACCTAGAACTGCAAGAGCAAAAGGGAAGAACAGGGTGAAATATAAAGACCACAACCTCGAGCAGCAACAGGCACTGGTGCAAGGCCAGGAATACAAACCTGCTCTTGCAGTGTTGTGTATATGTATATTTTTTAAAATTTTTTTAGTCCAATATAGACTCTAACTATACGGACAAAAAGCAGAGGTGCTGTCAGCAAAATACCTAGAACTGCAAGAGCAAAAGGGAAGAACAGGGTGAAATATAAAGACCACAACCTCGAGCAGCAACAGGCACTGGTGCAAGGCCAGGAATACAAACCTGCTCTTGCAGTGTTTGGACCTTTTTAACAGCAGAGTGTGGTCACAGCTTCTGTAGGCTTGGAAGCATGAAAGCCATCTCTGCTGAAAACATGCCATCAAGCTGATGGTCGCTGAGGGACTGCTGGAGCCGGAGGGGAAGCTGGAGAAGCTGAAGCCTGCCTGCAAGGAGGGGTTCCTCAGCTCCTCTCAGATGCCAGAGGCTGGCTTCGGTGGGCAGATACCACATCTGAGCACTCAGTCTGGTTAAGTAGGATGCCTTAAACAGCGTGAACAAAGCCTTTTTAAAAACAGTTTGATAATTGTTGTGTAGAGATGTTCCTACACTTTTGCTTACATAGGTTTAGGGGGAAATATGATTCAAAGCATAAATAAGATACTATTTTTATTAATAATGATCTTGTCTATACTTCAGTCAGCTCATTTAAGCTTTAAAAAAAAAAAATAAACCCAACAAATACCTAAACAAAACAAAAAGAGAGAGATTTGGGGCTGTTCAGCCTGGAGAAGAGAAGGCTCGGGGGTGATCTTATAGCAGCTTTCCAGTACCTACAGGGGGCCTACAGGAAAGCTGGAGAGGGACTTTTTACAAGGGTGTGTAGTGATAGGACAAGGGGCAATGGATTTAAACTGAAAGAGGGCAGATTTAGGTTAGATATAAGAAAGAAATTCTTTACATTGAGGGTGGTGAGGTACTGGAACAGGTTGCCCAGAGAAGTTGTGGATGCCTCATCCCTGGAGGTGTTCAAGGCCAGGTTGGATGAGGCTTTGGGCAACATGGTGTAGT